TATGTGGTAGTTCTGGGAGGTAGGGCCAAGTGGGATGTGTTAGTGTAATGGGGGTGGAGCCCTCATGAGTAGATTAATGCTTTTGTGAGTCCTTCCTTATATGGTGGACTGAGTGAGTTCCCGAGAGAATGGACTGTGATAAACCAGGTTCTCTGTCTTCTGGATGTGTCCAGTTACCCCTTCAGTCCCACCAGGAGTTTAAATAGAATGCTTTCCCCCCAAGAGGCAGATGCCTGACCTCGCACTCCCCAGCCTTCAGAATTAAGAACTCAAATTAATCTCCATCCTTTACACATTATCCAGTCTCAGGCATTCTGTTAAGAGTGACAGAAAGTAGGCTAAGACAACTTTGCAATAGCCCTTGGAAGCAAGAAACTGACAGTATACTTCTTAAGTGTATACATGATTCTGTAGTTCTCAAAAAACCACAAGGAATATGTTGTATGAATTTATTGGATAACCAATCCTTGCTCTCCTTTTTCTAGGAGAGGGTGCCCTGCTATGACACACTCTACTTGGCTTGGGAATGCAAAGGTACTGTGTGTGTGTTTTACTTTTGCTTCAAATTTGCATTTTATTGTTTCTTCTTCACAGTTTATGAAATCCCTGATGGGTTATCTAATTTTTTTTCATGTTCTTCGTTTCTTTTATCAAGAAGAAAAATAATGTTGGAACTGGGAGGGCTTTGAAGAATCACTAAGATGGATTGGTTTCTTATTCAACCTTTGTCTTGGTTACTTTTCTCCTTGCTGAGACAAAACATCTGACACCCAAAATGAAGGAAGGAAAGGTTTATTTAACTCACAGTTTGTGGAGGTTTCAGTCCATAATTAGCTGGCTCCAAGTCAGGGTGGCATGGCACAAAGGCAACACTTCAAGGCAGCAGAAGGCAGCAAAAGCAACACGAGCAGAAGGGGGGAGAACAAGCCTCTTTTCCTCCATCATGTTGTACGCAGGCTACCCGTCCTCACCCTCAGAAGGGTGTAACACCCACACCATGTCCTCACCCTCCTTTGGCACAGAATGAAGATGTTTACAAAGTGAGGACCCTGGCCTCATGTTGTTACTTAAGCTTCAAGAGTTCTCAGGCTGATACAATATTCAACGATTACAACCTCTTGACCTTATAATTTCCACTGCCAAAGAACAGAGGAAGGACACTCCAGTAAATTATAGATATAAGGTGAATAATGTGGAAATAAAGATTTAGTATCAAAGGACTTAGTTGGCCAACAAATTCACACAGTATATTCCTTGTGGTTTTCTGAGAAATACAGAATCTTGTGTATACATAACATGGATACCCTGTTAGTCTCTCACCTCCAAGAATATCTTAGTGTCAGTAAGGTGGTTTGGGGCCACACAGTAAAAGCTTTGGAATACCACAGTACTTGGAGTTTGAACTTTGTTTTATGGGCAATGGGGAGCCCAAAACTTTAAGAGATGAGAGACATGATTGTACTTATGACTTACGTGAGTGACTTTGGTATACTTTCAAGATGGATTGGAAAGGATATCAGTTAGGAAACAGTTTAAATTGTAGAGATGGCAGCTTAAATGAAGGCAGTTTTGGTGTAAATGTGCCATGTTGGAAAAGTTATTTTGGAGAAAATATTTACGAAACTTGGTCACATGACAAGGAAAATAATGAAGAAGGAAAAAAATAACAGAGAATGATGAGTTTGAGATGGAAAATATCTCACTAATAAAAAAGCAATTCAATGAGAAGAGAAACTTAGTAGGTTCTGTGTTAATTCTGTTGAATTTGGGCTGGAGAGATAATTCGGTGGTCTAAACTCCTGCCTGTCAAGCACAAGGACCTGGGTTTTATCTTTGGTACCATGTGCCGTGCTGGCCTGGAACCCTGGAGGCACTATGCAGGAGGATCACCAGGAGTCCGAGCTATGTAGGGAGACCCTATACCAAATAAATAAATAAAGGATTGAAAAAAATTTTAAGTTTGTTGAATTCAAAAGGTCTTTGGAACATCCAAATGCAAGTGTCCAGAGAATTAGAATTTTGGACTTGGAGCTCGATAAAAGGATAAAATTGAAGATAAGTATTTGTAAACCACCAGCATAGATTAGGCAGGTGAAATTGCAGAAGAGAGGAAGGTTGCTTCATGAGAGAGAGGATAATGTGGAAGATAAGACAGCTCAGGACAGAACCTTGAATCTGAGGAGCTGCCAGGAAAGAGGCAGAGAGAGAGCCACCTGAGAAGGAAGGATCATGTTGCAGAAGCCAAAGAAGATTCTACTCAAGAAGCAGTTGCTTTGCAAAGAATATGGGAAATAAATTTTTTTTTTGATCATGAAAATGTTACCAGTAGCCTTTTGAGACAGCAAAATCTCCAAGCACTGAAAGGCAAGAATAAGGTCCTGCTGACTGGCTTTGGAGGGAGGTAAGGAAGTATACGGCAAATATGAAAACGAGAAAGATTCCGTAGTGAAGGGAGGAAGAGAGATGAAGCTGGAAGGGAAAACGCTTCTTTTTTGTACAGTTTGCAAAGAACTTTTACATTCACTGGCTCATTTGATTCACAAGACAACACCAGGAGGCAGGAAGGGCAGGCAATGAAATGGAGGTTCAGGAGAAATGGAAAGTCTAGCTTGTGGTCACTTGTAGCAAAGTAAGTAGAACTGAGTATAGAATTGAAGCCATTTGGCTGAGTCCGATGGCCTTTCTGTGGAACCCAAATGGAACATTTCTGCAGTTTCTCATATTTGGATATTGAGCTTCTTGTTAAGTGGGTTTTGACCATATCCAAGAGAGAGTGGGGAGCTACTGCAAGTTTTGTGCGAGGGAATACAATGTTTACAATGTCTGATAGAATTAGCCTGGCTAGGATGTGTTAGTAGAACAAAAACTTTGGTGGAGGAGCATACAATTAGGATGTGGCTTCAAACCAGGACACAGCTTTAAATAAATATCTAGTCACATGCTAAGTTATTTCTCTTCCTGTTTTCCATTTGTGTTCAGGAGAAGGCCTCAGTTTGCCAGAGTATTTTTAACATCCCTCACTCTCTGACCCCCTTTTTTGAACAAAGAGGGAAGAGCTTTCAGATAGAAATGGATTGTGTTGCTTGTATACACTTTTTTTTTGTTCATGGTTGCCTTCTATTTATGAAAAGTGGCATTGATATCTAATTATTGTTACAATAGACTAAGTAAAAAATCAAATTGAGAAAATTATTGTAAATTCTAAGACAGGCGGTTCACATAAATGGGAGAAAAGCTATGAATTTTATTCAATTTTTTTTTGTGTGGCTCGATTGGGAATTGAACTCAGGACCTTGTACTTGCCAGGCAGGCACTACAACCACTGAGCTATACCCTCAACTATGAATTTTTATTATAATAACTAAAGTACGAGAAGTTCTGAACTTGAGTAAGAGACTGAGAATTTAGGTCAGGGTGAGGTAATGGCAATGAGAATAGAGCAGAAGGAGGCTTTGCTAGATGTTTATGAAAGTCAAATGGGGGCGTTTATTGTTGTCTGAAACTATTTTACACATCATTTCATAGGATGCTTCTGACCACAGTAAAGCAAAAAGGATAATGCAATAGCATGAATTTATTATCATGCCTCAAGTAGCCTGGAGGCAGGGTGGCTCCAGGACGGCTGTCAGTGGTTCACTGGTATCACTAAGTACTCCAGCTGATCATTTTCTATCTTCCTAGGCTGTATCTTCATGCTCACCAGGCAGCTAATGTGGTTCTAGGTCTCCCATCTTATTTTTTTAATTTTTAAGAGAGAGTACAAAATAGTATTAAAACAGAAAAGTTACAAGTGATACAGAATTTCACTTAAAGTAATATGAATTTCACAGTATTTGTGATGCACTGTGTTGTCTCCGACCAGTTATTCATATTACCAGATATATGCAGCAAAATTGGAAGAAAGAAATATATAAGAAATTAAGAAGAGAAAAGGACGAACAATTGAAAAAAGAAGGCAAAACAAATTAAGCATTATCTGCTCCTTTTCCACAAACCAACATGAATCCACAGTACCGCTGTCCAAACCATCCTCTCCTGTCCTTCTCCTCAACTAAGTAACTCTTCTCTTTTGAGTAAGTTCATTCCCTTTTCCCACTATCTATTGTACCCTTCACATTTCCATTTTCTCTTTAAACTTCTCACACTATGGAGACAATGCAACATTTGCACAAGTGGATCTGATTTATTTCACTTAAGAGTATTGTCTCTAGTTACATCCATTAACTGACCAAAGACTCAAATTTATCCTGTTTTATAGATGAATAGCACTCCATTGTGTAAAAATACTGCATCTTTTTAATCCACTCTTTAGTTGATGGGCATCTGGGGTTGTTTCCAGGATTTAGTTATGATAAATTGTGCTGGTTGCATATATATTGCTGTGGTATGATGTTTTCAGGAAATCATATTCTAGAAAAATTCCCTGGAGTGGAATAGCTGGCCTGAATGGGATCGCCAATCCTAGCTTTTTAAGGAATCTCCACACTGATTCCCATAGTGGTTGTACCAGTCTGCACTGCCACCAACAGTGAAGAAGACTTCCTTCCCACCCTCCAGCCCCTCCAGCATCTGTTAATTGGCTGACTTCCTGACATTAGTCATTCTTTCTGGGGTGAGATGGAATCTCCCTGTTGTTTTAATTTGTACTTCTTGAATTTAGGTCGCCCATCTGGATGTATGATGTTTACAGTGTAACAATAAGACACCTTCCTGATCTGAAGAGTAGAGGGCAAAGAAGCCTTTACCAGAAGGGCCTCTAGCAGAAGATTTTTTGTTTAGGAATAATTCACACACACACACACACACACACACACACACACACACACAGCCACATATTCATGCATAAAGCGATTAACGCAAAACAATCAAATTACTGTAACTACACTAAACTAATTTGGGACTTATTCTGCAAGCTAAAGATGGAGATCCTTTCCCAGAAGGATGGAGTCTTACGTGAATAGGGGCTCTGTTAAAGCATGATGGACAGGCAGGTCACCATGTCTTGCACAATGAGGCTGCAGGGCTGCAGGTTTTATTCAAGCATCAGCAGTTCTGAACCTGGTCAGAATCATCCTTGCACATAAGTAGGAATTCTTGAGGCTTGTGATTTATTATTTCTGAACATGTTACTTAGCTCTTCTCTCCATGTGTTGGATTAAGGCAGAACGAAATACTTCCACTGCAAAATCAGCTTCTGGCTTAGTGATGCACATGGGAGGCACTACGCGGAAGGTCTGAGGGGACAGAGGAAAACAGCAACAAATCATGGGAAAGTCAAATATGGCCTCAAGGAAACGCAGCAAACTAAAACCATCAACCCTTCTTTCATGACATGTCCCACACTTCTCTCACTGGGCTCCGCTCTCCTCCCAAGCTGTCTCCAGGCTGAGCACTTTCCAGTCCTCTTACAAATCTCTGCACTGCGTGGCTTGGTCTCATTTTCATTTTGTCATGCAGTCACCTCTTGGTCCTTCTACTATGTCTCTGAGATGCTGGACTTCTCTCTACACTCATCTTCTGCCACCAGCACGGCTGAGCTCTGTGTCTGTGTGTGAAACCCAAACAACTATCTTCTCTCTTTTGTGTGTTTTTTTTTTTTTGCTCCGAATGCCTTCAAGGCATGACTGGCTGTCTTGTGTTGTGGGGATCTAACCACAGTAACCTGAGCCTGACTGCTTTGTTGAAGCAGCCAGTTAAAGAACTGAGCTAAGGGGCAGGCCCCCTATCTTCTCTCTTTTGATGGCCACAACTCCCAGTGCCTTTATTGCTACTATTCTGTAGCCATTCACATCTGAGGTGTGAATCGTGTGCCCTTCACCTAGAATAATCCGGTTTCTCATTCATGTTACACCTACTCTTTTCACAAAAACCCTCTTTGTGCCTTCATTATCCGTGGTTCTTTTACCCCACTGCTTAATCTTTTCATTTGTACGCAGTTTGGAGCACTGAGTTGACCAAACTAATCTCTTAGCTGCCCCCTCACTTTGTGTGTGTTCTCACTCAAATGATCTGCACCCATGTGGACTAGCCTCAGCCCTGGCTCAAGCTATCACTGAACTGCTTTTCTCCACCTTACAAGGCTGCGAAATGTTAACAAAATCAATTACACAGTAAGCCTGACTGACTCCACTAAATATT